ATATCTACTAAACCAGTTTTTGTACCAGGGTGTTCAAATTTTAGCAAGTTCATTCCTTTTTTATAGTTTTTTTTTATGTTTACTATATCATCTGCTAGTGTGCTTTTTATCTATTTCTGGTATGTTCACTGCTTCTTTTATATCAAGTGCCAACTCTCTATATCAGAAAACTTCTTTTCAAAAACTTCCTTATATACTGATTTTCTATTCACATGGACTTAAGCCACAGGGCTTCATATACATTCATATGCTTTCATAGATTACAGAGTTTTGCCTTCATCTGAAATTGAACTGTTGACCTTGTTTGTAGAAGAAGGGATACCTAGACCACTAGGCTATAAAACCCCATCTCTTTGTTTTTATCTATTTCATTTATAGCTTTTTTATTTATATTTGATATTTGTATCTATTCTGTGAGTAACTTTTGAAAATAGTAGTAGGATCTAAATAGGCATGCAGTTTCTGTTATTCTTTTAAGTATATTTATTGAGATTGTAAGATTGATTTCTGTAATTATTTTGTAATTAGTAGGTAATCTGAACTTATTCATAAGATTAGCAGTTATGATTAATTCTAAGATAGATATTGTAATTTTATATATTCTTTTAACTTCATATATAAAAGTTGCTGCCTCTGTATTATTTGTTATTAGGTAGGTATATATGTTTTGAGTTTTGATTTTACTTTGATCTTTTGATAAGCTGGGTTTTACTAAGAAGTAGTCATTTAAAATATTCTGAAATGTATAGCATTCTCTAAGTCTTGTAATGATATCTTAGATATCAGTATTCTAGTTGGCTCTGTCTATTAGAAAGCATGCTCTTAGTTGTAAGTCTTTATATCCTGATATGTGCTGGTTTTTCTGGCATTGGTGAAGATAAATTAAAAGAGTGATTTAAAATTTTATTATATTTGTAAATTTTTATAAACATTTTCTATAATATGCAAATCTTTCTAATTCTTTTCTTTCTATTATTGGAAAAAGATATTTAATTCTGTAGTTTAGATCATCTATATTATGAGGTAGTAGTAGAAGTTTAATAAAGTATGTAGATGGTAGTTTTTTAAACTCAAATACTTTATATAATGCTATAACTACAGTTTTTGTTTATAACTTGAATTTTATTAGAAGTTCAAATGATAAGATGAATTTTATCTTATCTGAAATCCTTATTGATGTGTTTAAAAGCTTTGTTAGTTTATTTTTTATTGCCTTTGTAATTGCCTTTTGTATAGTTTTTTTGTTTATTGCTTTCTCATCTCTTGTAAAATCTTTATAATATATTAGTAATTAATAAATATGTTTTTATAAGCATGTATTGAAATTTGTGTTAATAATGTAGTTAATATACAGCTTTTGTTGAAGTTTGAGATGTATTTTGGCTCTTATTTGTTTATCAGTAATGGTTATTTTGTTTTTAGTTTTGTATTTTTGTATTGCATTTGTAAATTGTTTTCATATTCTATTTGATATTAGGACATAAAACATTTGTCTCTTATAAAAGTAATAAAAAAAGTATAGTCAGTATGTTTAAATTTGAATTTGATTGCATATAGTAATATTTGTTATGCAAGTTTGAACTTGAATTTGTATATAATAAGTTCTTACAATTTCTTTTTTAATTAGAAGGTTTTTGTGATAAATTGGTAATTCCAAAATATTAGATTAAAGAATTTTAGTATTTTCTTATTTATGTTTTAGTTTAGTTGTTTTGTCATATTTGCATATAATTTGTATTATTTTCTAAATCTGTGTTTGTAGTTATTCTATCTTTAACTGTCTGGCTATATGTGCATCTAGTTTGTGTATTATTTTATATTAAATTTTTAGTATTTAGTATTATATTAACAGACTTAGTTTCTATATTTTGGTCAGAATACATCTCTATTTGAAGAGACTCAGTTTAGTGATTTGTGTCAATTGGTTGTGAGGTTTGCTGTACTGTGTGTTCAGTTTTCATTTTAGAACTAGGCACTTGTGTTTGTATATTACTTATAGTAATACAAGAGTTATTGTTTTGTGTAATTGTTATATAGTTGTTATTGTTGACTACAAAACTAGTTTTTTCATTAGTCAAACCTGTTTGTTTTATTGTATTATTGTTGTGTTTAATTGTATATGCATCACATGGCTGTTTGATAGGAGTATATTACTTTTTTCATTTTTATTATTTTGTTTTAGCAATGATATCAAGATTTTTTGATGCTTGTTTGCATTATATTTGTTATTTTTGCTAAGTTGATTGTAGAGAATCATTTGTATTAAAGTTATTTCTATTGTCTAATAGGATATTTATAACTGTTTTCCATATTGAGAATTTGTGTTGCTGTAAAAGTAAAGGTTAAAGGTTGAAACTAGTTTTTTTTTATTAATCAGTTTTATTAACTTTTTAAAAATCACAACTGAATATAAATTAGTTATAATATATTCAGTTAAATCTGATTAATTAGTTATAATAATTTGGTTAATTAGATTTAAACAGATTATTATGACTGATTAATCAAATTTAATTGAAATATTATACTTAGTTAAATTCATTATGCATATAGATTAATAGATATATGCATGTATTTGGATATGTAATTATAGAGTATAATTGAATACAAAAAAATGCAAACATAAGTAATGTTGTAGTTGTGATAACTAATGATAGTAAAAGCAAGAAATTAGACTTAAAAATTAATAATCTAATGCAAATTAATTTATGTATTTATCTGATATCTGATATTTTTTATTTGTCTTTATAGGACTTTTTATTGGATTACTGGAACAATAATTGCTGATCATCAAAAATAAGAAAAATTTAATTTTTTTAATAATTAGATAATCTAATAATTTATTATATGATAACTTGCAAACTTTTATTTGATTAGCTAATATGCATTAATTATCTATAGTATATATCAAAATGCTTCATAATATATTAATAAGATGCTAGATCAGTTCTTATTTGTATGTTACTTGAACTATTTGTTAATTACTATATTTGCTTTCATCTCTGGTTCTAGCACAACTGCATCATCAGTTATCTTATTTAATCAAAACTAAGTTTTATATATGCAAGAAAATAAATAAGTATTATCAAATAAAAATCTGTTATTAGGCTCAATTATGTTTTGTACTAAATACAATTACTAATAAATCAAATAGATTTAGTCAAGTACAGAATATGCATATAATTGAAAGCCTGACACTTAAATGAAACAGCAAAGACTATTAATATTACACATATATTAAAACTGTTAAGAGATTATATCTATTATAATTGAATCTAACATAAATAATTTAATTTGTAACTGATCACAAATGAGATTAGACACTGGCTTTTCTGAATTCAAATAATTATCTAATCATTCAAATAAAATCAGTTATAATAAAACTAATTAATTGATTAAAGACAATTATAATAAAACCAATTAATTGGATTAAAAAATTTATAACCTAGTTATAAATCTGATTATGATAGCTGGTTTCAATCTTTAGTAAAAGCAGCTATGAGCCCTAATGACCTTGGATATTTTTTTTTATTTTCAGTATAGAGTTTATATTTTCTTTTTGTTTTTGTAATAATGTATCTTAATTTGTTTTAGGCTAGTATATAGAAGGTGAAAATTGTTCTGCAGTTAGTATTATTATTCTGTTCTTTAGTTAGTTAGGTTTTTATAATTTTTCTTTTTTGTTTACTTATTGTTTTGAGATCTACAGAAAAGAGTTTTTTGCAAATTTGGAATTTATAAGTTTTTAAATTTAATAGATTATAATAGTAACTTAACCTGTTACAGATTATAAACATGCTAAAATTACAGTAATTTTTTAACTCTACTTATATGTAGAAATCTACTTTAAGCAACCTTATATAAATAATTTTTGATGTTTATGCTAAGATTTGATTTCATTTAATTTCACTTTACTAGAAACAATATTGTATTTATAAAGAGATTTGATATGCAAGTATTGCACTAATATTTTATGTTTTTTAATTTGATTGTTAGTAAAAATAATTTTTAATTTAAATTATATATTCAAAATTTCTTTAAGTTATATGTATCTTTTATATATTATTATTTAGCAATTCATTTTACAGTATAATAAAGTACAATTATTATATACTAATACTGTAATATATTAACAAACAAATCAAATATCATATTTGGGATCTAACTTTAAAAAATTTAATTGTTGAACAATTTCTAACATTGAGGGACGCTTATTTGGTTCATGATCCCAACATTTCGAATAAAGGTCAATATATTGTATAGGTGTTCCAGGAATTGGTTCTTCACGTGTACCTTGAATAATTTTCAATAGGAGTTCATAACCTTGATTGGCAAATGGTATGCTTCCATTGCTGGAAATCTCCCACATCAACACACCAATACTATATACATCAGACTTTTTATCATATCGATAATTTGGATCCCTAAGTTTACAAGGATCAATAAAAGGAAGTACTCCATAAAATCCTTTACTGGTGGTTAGTGCTGCAGTATTAAGATTTTTTGAGAATCCAAAATCTGAAATTTTAACTTCTTTCTTATGAATAAGAATGTTCGCAGTATGCTAAATTAAAGACAATGTTAATTATAAAAGACTTAAAAATTACTAATATTTATAACAAGATTATATGCTTTACCAAATCACGATGTGTGATATCTATATCATGAAGATAAGACATTCCTTCAGCTATTTGTGTTGCCAATCGAATTTTTTCTGACCATTCCAATTCATTATTTCGTAAATATTCTCGTAAAGTTCCATTGTCTGCATATTCCATTACAAGATAATATATTTTTTCTATTTCATCTTGTAATAACAATTTAGTAACAATATTTAGTTAATTGGCTAAAACTCTTATATAATGTATAAAATATAAATAACTTACTAAAACTAATTCCATAAAATTTAATAATTCGCTCATGATTAGATCTACTGAGTTGTTTTAGCTAAAAAATATTATCATATCTTAGAAAAATGATAAATAATAATCTTCTATAAATACTCAATAATATACCTCATTAATAAAAAGTTTTTGTGCCTTTTCATCCGTTTCTGATTCTACTTCTTTAATAGCAACAAGATCTAATGAGCTAGATTTTGCTAAATGTATTGTTCCAGAACCTCCACGTCCTAATTTTTTCTTCTTCTTCAAACTGTTATAAGGTACTTCATTCAATTTGTATTCTTTAATAATACTTTGAAACCACTTCTTGGCTCTAATTAGAAATAATTAAAGTTTTATTATTTCTACCTAAAACATTCACTAGTCAAAGTTATATTTTAACTAAATAATACCTTGCAATATATTGTACTAATAATATTTTAAATACTGAATATTTGTATTATACGCAATATATTTATTACTAATAACATATTAAAATGCATATACAGTAATTAAGATATTATTTGTACTATATGTTAGTTAAAACATAATTTTTTAACCAGTGATTAAATTTAAAATTGGACATTAATAGACCTTGTACTCACTCTCTTTTAAATTAAATAATTATTTAATAATAAATGTTTTATTTAAAATATATAAGTGAACTTTATGCTTACCCTCTTTTAAATTAAATAATTAGAATGTAACTTTACCATTTAAACTAAATCAAATATTATTTAAGCATCTTATATTTAACTATAAATAAAATATACTTACGCCCTTTAAGAATAATAGTTAATTTTTTTTAATGATGAATTTTATTAAAAAAAAAGATCAGAAGAAGTAAATTTTATGCTCACCCGCTTTTTGATTATTTTAAGTACACAGTTATTTAATAATATATTTTTATTTAAAAAATGAATATGAGATCAAACATAGCATAGCTACACTGCCTAAATGTCACTCTAGTAATATTATCAACCACATCCTATATTTTATACCATTTGTTTCATCTTGAGGCGAATTAAATCATACATAAAGCTTAATTCGATCACAAGATTCTTATTATAAATGTATTATATTATAAAAAGCAATGTAACAAATCAATAATGCTTCTGCATATCTAATGATCAAAATATTTATACCTTCAATTCGGATCATTGAATATCTGACATATATTACAGGTTTTTCTAGTATCAATCAAATAAATTTTAAATCTCTATTATTCTCATTAAGAACAGAATGAACTATGGTATTCTTCTTTGTCTTTATATATTATGCAGCATCACAAGCGAACCATTATTATGTATTACATCCATAAGCAAACTTCTATGTGTTATATATGCTGTATCTAAATACATGCTAAGATTATAAAACTAATTTTTAATTTCTGAATGCTTATTGATTAACCAATTTGAATACCAAGTAACATTCAACCTACGTGACATTTAGACAGTGTGTTATGGCCAATTTTGAATAAAAAAGATTTTTACTTACTCTCTTATAAATTAAAACAAAGAATAACAATTATTTGATGATATACTTCTTATTAATATATTCTCAATAATTTTCTACTTAATAATAGGAATGATACATACTCACTAATTTAACAGAATAATAAAGTCTTGTTAAAGCAGTGTTATTTAATATAAAATATAATCGATTTTAAACAAAATTTATACTTACTCCCTGTTAATTATCAATTGTATAAGAAATTTTGATATTGTATTTGTTAGAATTCAAATGAAAATAATATTTTTATAAATAATTTCTATACTTACGAACTGTTAATTCTTTTGCATATAAATAAACAAATCATATTTAATGAAAATCTCAATAAGCATTTTATAAATAATGTAGCTCTATACTTACTCTCTAGTAATTTGACATATGTATGAATTAATATTTAGTAAAAAATTCCTATAATACAGTCAACTCTCCAAGTACAGCCTTTCTAAGTGCACTTCTCTTAAGTTCTGGCCAAGTATATGTTTGACCTTTTTAACTGCATTTTTTCTTAATTGTTCTGGTTTCAATGAATTGCACTTAGAGAAGTGACTGTAATAAAATTTAATAATTGAACTCTATTCTTACTCTCTAGTGATTCAATAAATAGAAGAGCAAAGAAATAATATTTATTAGAACTCTATTAATAATAAATTGGCAAATTTTTAATAAATAATTTCTATACTCACTGTCTTGTTTAACACAAGTAAAATAATATTTATGCATGATTTATGTTAACTGTATATATTATAAATAAATTATATAATAATTTATATACTTACTCACTGGTAGTTTAAGTGAAAGACAGAAAAGCAATATTAAATAAAGAATTCTATTAATTATAAAATATGCACATTATTTATATACTTACTCTCTGATAATTTTAAGTAAAAAAACAGGAAAGTAATATTTAATATAGAATTCTATTAACAATAAAATGTACAGATTATTTTATAAAAAAACCATACTCACGGACTAGTAATTTGAAATTAAAGAACAGGAGGGATAATCTTTAACAGAGAATTATATTGACGATAAAATGTGTACATTATTTTACGAATAAACTATATACTTACGCACTGGTAATTTGAAGTAATACTTAACAGGGAATTATATTGACGATAAAATGTGTACATTATTTTATATACTTACTGCCTGGTAATTTGAAGAAGTAATATTTAACA